ATTGGTTTAAATCGATCACGTGACGCGATAGTGTTCATCCGTGGAGAGACACTATCAGCATATTTGTTTTAAGAACATCAAATTTCCGCGGGGCAACTATCAGCCGATAGTTCCTCGACAGAAACACTCTATTGTTTAAATAGGCCTGAGAGGAAATTGAAACCATTCAGGACAAACATACAAAGTAAGCAGGTAAGTCTGTTTTTGTTCGAAACCATCTTGGGTGGAACATAGACAAGGTTTTCATTCCGAAAAAAAAACAAAAAAAAACCCTTCATACCTCTGGCAGATTAACACCTTTTTCCTCTTCCTCTTCGTGAGAACAGGTTAGCTGTTTTTAGGCGTAGTCGGAACCTGTCTTTAGAAATATAGAAGTGGTAGCCGTTAACTTCACACTTGGGCTACTTGTTCTCGTGTTATGTCAATCTGATATTTCTCTTGCAGACGAACGTCGTTACCGCACGATTTCCAACCATTCCGTGCACCACTGGAAAGTTCCGTCTGATCAAGGTCGATTCTAGCGATTCCACAAGGTTTCGTCCGTTTCTATACGATTGCGTCCTATTGCAGGGGTTCCGTTCGATTCCGGAAAGTTTTAGTGATTTCGTAGGAACGAATGGATTGGACTCGCTAAATTACTCCCTAAACTGTCCCCATTCTTTGCCATCGATCGCCATTAATAAACTTATTGCGGCATGAATAACTCGAAACTGATTACCATAAGTCGTGCATACCACTACAAACAAGAGATATTCTCTTACAACAAACACTTTCCTAATGAAGCATTTCCAATAGCGCCCAGAGAATTTGCTCACGATTTCTTGGGAAGCTCAGTCATATCACACCAAAAGAAAGACATAATTGCCCAGACATCGACGTAATATTTTAATGTCGTACAACTTTCCTTCTCGGAGAAATTTACAGTGATATTTCCTATCTGTAAGAGGCTACTTGTAACAAGAGTCTGTTTCAGTCGAGATTGTAAGTTAGAGGGCAAATGTTTATAAAACGACTCTAAAAATTGGACAGGAATGACTCAGTTGCATTGAAGACCAGATACAATAAACAAGTGAAAACTGAAGAAATTTTGAAAAAATTCAAAAGTACATTCTTGCTATCCACAATGAACTTTCATCGATTTTATAAACTTATTTCATTCCCAAGTTCTATCGATCGAATTCTTATAAAAAACTAAATGTTTCTATCTCTTATTACATGAAACTCTTAAGCAAAATTCAAGTTCATATTTTTAAAGTAAGTCATTATGCATAATATTATAGGTGTTCTTGTTTGAGAAGAAAATTCATTCGCTCCCTTTTCGACTTTCCCCTCCACCCCTCCATTTCTAACCTCGCCATATTCGTCCCCCCCCAACCGTGAGAAGACAAACAAAGAAACAAAAAATAGCAAATAAACAAACAAAACAACAACAACACGCCTACAGACACAAACACAAAGCAAAACTAAGAGATAACAGGCCTATTGTGGGTAAGAAAAAAATATGAAATGACCTTAAAAATAATTCCAACTACTAACATTTTATCAGTGATTGGATCTGCTAATTCATAAAATATTTTTAACTATTTTCACTCTGGATTTAAAGACGGTAAAAGTTGTTTGATCAAGTATACTAAATTCTGTTTTGAACATAGATGTTCAAACATGTGCTTTGTTCTTAAACTCTGGTTAACGTCATGGCACTTGCCGGCTGTACAACTCACTCGACACGAACGAGCTCAACAATAGGGTCCAAAAGAATCGGTCTATGTCGCTAACTGTAACGGTGCGCAAAAGATGAACATGTCAATGGCATTGGTAATGATACCAAAAACATTTTTATGGTAAATAATTCCTAGTTTTGTGTTTACTCGTGACGTTTTATAACGGTACCTTACTAGGAAGACTACAGCCTCCAATCAAGTGGTTGGTGATTGAATGTGATATTTCTTTTCCACCAACACTATTTAAACCTTTAGTTCTAAAGACAAAATTATAACAAAAATTTTCCTACTTTGTTTTTGCATAGAATTTCTTACAACAGCTCTATTGACTAGCAATCAATTTATAGTGCTTTTCAAATCACGTTTCACTTAATCCCTCTTTTGTGGAATCTTAAGGTGTAACATAAATAATTTATACCCACAAAAAAAGGGTTAAATGAACGACAACAAGCATTTGCGAGGAGCGTGATACTTGTGTGATTTCTTCTGCAAACTGGAAACGCATCCTCATAGTTCTCTGCTGTTAAGTTGACCAAGCCAACGTTTTCACGTGACAAGAATTGCTTCTCAGACTCAATGGCTTAACTCTCATCCAAGTGATGACAAGCTGTTGGACGAGGTTACTGTTATGATCACCTAACATAAGCAATAAAAGGACTTCTGATAACTGTTTCCCTGTCGATCAACAAAGCAACAGGCTAGCACATTCCCTTGCTGGCTGCCTCTCCGACTGGCTGGCTAACCTACCTTCTACAAGACTGTTTGGCTCACCGACTAACTGACTTTCAGGAAGGTTGACTGGTTCATTATCTTAATAAGAGAACTTTGACTTTGACTGACTGGGAGTCAGGATTGGGAGACTGTCCGGATTGCTGACTAATTTTCTATAAGGTTGACTGCTTCAAGAAATGAACTAATAGGATTTGACCTTGACTGTCTAACAGGTGAACACTTTCTAACTGTTCGAAAAAACTGGCTCACAGACTTACTAGCGGGCTGAAGGACTGAAAACCTCAAGACGACCAAGGCTGTCCCCCCCCCCACCTCCAAATGACCGACCAACCCACTCGGCTTGGCTGTGGAATGATGACGGCGTTGGAGAACAAACAGTAATAAAAACCACAGATTACGAGAGATTTCAGAAGTGTGCTATTTGTTTTAAATAAGTTACAATTAAAATTAATACTGTGGACCTTCTCAACCCAATATTAAATACACGATCCCTCCCCTTCTCAGTGTTAAGAAGGCATTCAACTTAAGTGTCGTAAAATTAAAACCACAGCCGTCAATCAGGCGAAAGGAAAATTTCAGGAGTCAATCAGAACTCAACGTAAAAAACCAGGAATCTTCCTGAAGGGTGGGAAAAACTCAAATGAAAAAATGTTTTATATATGGGGTGAACTTCTAAGCAGTAGCAAAGCGAAGTAAAGCAAACCCAGTGCTAACACAAATTAATTTCGACACTAAATTGAAATTGAAAAGTAGTTTGCCAGCTTACACACCTCATCTCCGATATACTTGGCCAACTGCGTCCTTAGTTGAGCGTACTTTTCTTTCATGTCTTCTTGATACATTCGTTGATCTTCCTTGATCAACAGATCATTCTGTTCCAAAGCTTTTCCACAACAACCGATAAACTCCCTGTAAACCTGCTGAAGCATCTCAATGTGTTTATGAGGATGCGAAGCCAACACCGACTTGTCTAGAAATGCATGAGCGTATGCCAGGGGACCTGCATTCACCTGTAAACAAGCACTGAAATCAATACATTTTCAATAACGAGACTCTTAACGACTCCCCCAAAGTACAAAGAAAACGCAACCTAAGCCTTGGTGTCCTGTGTCACCTGAAAGATAAGTCGCTGTGTATTGCTTATTAGTATAATTTCAGAGCTAAGCAAAGAGTTTCCAGCAATCTGTTTGGTCGAGCGGTTCCTTATATGACGCGATATAAACCGCTCCACGCGGTTTATATAAAATGTTAAAATAAGATGTTAATAGATGTTACTAAAATGTTATGATTTTAGAAATTTCTCTGTTGTTCAGCTCTGAAATTATACTAAAACAATTATTCGCCTCAGGTTCGGTGAATATTGTCGAACATTCCCCTCGACTTCGTCTCGGAATTATTCGACGATATTCACCTCGCCTTCGGCGAATAATTGTTAAATATTAGTGATCGTATATTAGCTAGACGTATGGCTGCTATGCTTTTAGTCAATGAACTATATATCTGTCTATCTATGGAAANTATCGTAAGGTTGAGATCGGACGTCAGCATTTTTATCAGACGCCTGTGGCAGCCGCTTCAGTCCATGTAGCGATCTCACCTTCCCACCCATCCCACCCCGGGGAGGACATCCAATACACAGTAATCTCCTGCATGAAAAATCTTACGTCTCCTACCCCTAACCCTGCAGGAGACGGGACCTACGGCTTTACGTCTTATTCGAGAAGACGAAGCAATACGAGTGAAGCGTCTTGCTTAAGGACACAACGTCAGTGCTCCAGGACTTGAACCGGGGCCATCCGACCCAGAGTCCAGCGCACTGACCACTGGACTACTCACGCCTCTACCAACTGAGCGAACAGGCCAACTGGAAGCTGATCTAAAATGATCTAAAATGATGCCAGGCCCCACTTGAAAAATGACGTAAAAGTTTTATGTTTCTTACGATGAGACAGAAATTAAGCCGCAAACTTACTAGTTAAGATGGTCTTTCTCTTGCACTGCTCTGTCAGGTTTCCATGAGCTTTACCGCTTACCGTAAACGGTGTCTCGTATATAAACCGTCGGATGTTATTGTTTCGTTCAAATATGGTCGGCCTTAGTTCAAGTTCCTCGTCATCAAAATAGGGCTGTACATAGGTAATCTGCGGGGATAATTACAAGGGCCACACAAACATTATCGATAAACCTTGAAGAAATTTCTTTATTTAACTTCTAGCGAGATCATTTCTTGATGCATTTTCACCGTCATTTCCACAGCGAAGCGGCTTTCGACAGTCAAAACTTTCAAGAAACATTTTGCAAGTGGGCTAGGATAAAATGTGCCCAATGAAGCCATTTACACACTAAGAATGTTTTTTTTTTTTTTTACATCAATTAATACATCATTAACTCCGGTGAAATGTTTTCACAAAACGAAAACAAATTTATGCATTCCGACTTGGAATCTAACTAACATTAATTTCAACTTAGACCTTTCCGAGCAACATTAGGCCTGAAATTGAAAGGAGAAAAAAAAAAACAGACAACAACAAGAACATAGGTTCCTCTTAACTTTGCCATCTCTAAAGACACAAAAGTTGGGCTAATCGACTGGCTGGAAGCGGTGCAGCCTATTTTATCCAAAGCCAACTATTTATACACAAAAAAAAAATACCTGGATGTAGCCCAGTTTTGAATCTAATGTTTCAGGATGCACCTAGGAGGCAAAATCATATTCAAAAGTTAATTTTTGATATTGAAAAAAACACTTCTGGAGATAAACGTGAAATTAGCGTTTATACTGAACATTAATAAAAGCAACAACAAAAAAAAAGGAGTGCAGTGTGATGAAATTGAGATAACGGCTTATAGAATGTGTGGGATATTGAATAAGTGGTATTGCCGAGCGTAGTGCCGGCAACCACCTGCGAATCAGGAATGGCGCTAAATAATTTGATAATAATTATTTGCAGGACTGAGTTACCTTTGCGGACTCCATGATAAGTTTGACACTCTCTTTGTGTTTTTTAGAGTACATAGCTTCCAGTCGTTGAGAAATCTCCGCTAATCCTGTGATTTTTGGTTCTTTGTAGATGAATTCCTTTCCATCGTCGTCACCGAACATCTGAAAAACAGAGGGAAACACGCGACTCAAGACAGTTCAGACTTTGTCGGTTTCCAGCGTCGTACAATTTCTCAACAGAGCGTTGTACTGACAACAGTTCTTTCCTTCTACAACTGGAGAATAATGTGCGGGTGGAAAGCGCAGATCGAATGGCTTAGAGCCGACCTCTCACCGTATCGAGCACACATTTCACTTTCAGCATGCATCAGTTCTCGAAAAGCTACTAGTTACTAGTACCTCATGCCCTGCAATAACCTATTTTTCTCCGTACAAATAGAAGGATATATTTATGTAAAATACAAATGAATAAAGGCTGATAGTTTCGAAAGAAACTGTTTGGGGCTGCGTCGGTGGGGGTAACGAAATAATTTGGATATATCAACAAAGTTGAAATGGTAAATTGGCCACCGTAACGATTACAAAAGCTGACGTTTCGAGCGTTAGCCCTTCGTCGGAGCGAATAGAGGAATTGTGGGTTGTGTGTGCTTTTAAAGGCAGAAAATGGAGCTACGTTATTGGTGGGAACATGGCAACGAGAAAAACA